GCACTCCAGTCTGGGCGACAGAGTGAGACTCCAACTCAAAAAAAAAAAAAAAAAATACTGGAGCTCTTCCTGTAAGGACTGTTTGATTATATGAGGTATGATTCTAATTATAACACTGGTTTCCACAATTCACACCAGAAAACTCAACAAACAATGAAATGAACCGTTTTTTCTTCCCTTAAGACAACTGTTATACAACATTTTGAAGCACATAGTAAATTTAATTATAGGGTGGGGCTTTATTTGAGAACATTTGCTTGCTTTTTAAATTTGATTTTTAAAATTTTAAGTATATGCCCCTAAATGTTAATTGTGACTATGATATACTTAAGAACAGCTTGAAGATCAAATATTTAAGCTGTTAGAAAGCATGCCGTTTTTCCAGTTTCATATTGAAGAAAACTCAGATCCAGGGCCACACTGGATTTCAAGTTATCTTTGGGATAAATTTGGTTAGAAATAAGCACTTGACTAGTCAGAAAGATAGGTATGTAATTCTTCAAACAAAAATGTGCTTCACAAAAATCTCTGAAGACAAGTTTTGAGTTCATTATAACTGGTAAGTGTCATAGTCCTGGTACAAGCCATAATAACCACTATTGACTAAAATTAGGTGCTTACTCTCTCTGGAGATATTTTATGATAATCACCTACCAACTATTGCCTAATTTCGACTGCTCTTCACATGCCCCCCCCAAAAAAAGAGTTGTGTAAACTACTTTGGGGTCATTATGATTCTTCCCTAACCCTTGCCCCACATGGGAGGACAAGAGAAACTTGAACAAGCAGTATGACACTCAGATTGGCGGGGGAGGGGAGGGCAGTGCCAGCCTATCAGAAGTAAAGTCAGTGCCTGTGAAACAATGAGCTTCTGATGAGAGTGTGGCCTGAAAATAGCAGTTAGTCAAAGTTGCCATTTTAAGGTACAGTTGTAGACTTCCATGACTCTTCTGCTGTCTTCAGAATAATGTCACCCGGTGCTCTTTCTTATTTCCTACACCCATGAAAGATCTAGTTCCTGGTCTAGGCTCTGGCTTTTCCTCAGCCTAGGAAGAAGAGGAGGTATGTGGGAAGAATGGTTGCCAAGCTAAAGATGAGGGCAACCATCTGGGAGGAAGACCGCCACTGGCATTTACAGGAGAGGAGGAACACCCTGGACTGGTAGTCAAGGCTCAAGCTTGTGTATGTCTCTGTGTCAGTCTTTTAAGTGAGGTTAGAAGCTTGGAGGCTTAAATATTGCCTCATTTATCCCGGATGCTCTTTATTTCTAGCTTACTCTCTTGACTCCCCTCTCTTCTGCAGATTCTCACATGATAGCCTCCTTTTTATCAGTCGACAAGTAGCAAGTGCCTACCATTTGAAGGGACACTAGGAAGATGCTGTGGAGGAAACAAAGACACATAGAACATGGTCTCTAAACAAGAAGCTTACAGTTCAGAGGAAGACAAAATGTAAACATTTCAAAAGATATTTGTATGGGAAATATACCACATAAGTTAGTTAGTTAGTTAGTTTGTTAGTTTGTTTGTTAGTTTATTTAGTTGGAGTCTCACTCTGTCGCCCAGACTGGAGTGCAGTGGCCGCTCCCGGCCACTACAGCCTCTACCTGCTGGGCTCCGGCGATCCTTCCAATCTCTTCTATCATTCCTCATGTTCCAGAATCAATGAACTTCAAATAAAGTGGGCAAACTAAACAAGATCCTCTGGATCAGATTTGAACACTACTTTACCTTATCACTGCATTGCATCCAAATGGCCAATTAACAGATGAATAAGTGCTTGATCTTATTAGTACCACTGGAAAAACACAAGATGACCAAAACTTGAAAAGACTGACAATAACAAGTGTTGGTTGGGATACACAGCAACTGAACTTGCATACCCTGCTTGAGGGAGTGTAAATTGGTACCATCACTTTGGAAAGCTGTTTGGCAAGATCTACTAAAGCTTAATATTTGTAAATCCCATGACCCAGCAATTCCACTCCTAGGCATATACCCAAGAGAAATGCATACAAAGGTTCACCAAAACACATATACAAGAATGTTCTTTCAGCATTATTCCCAATAGTCTAAAACTGGAAACAACCCATAGGTCAATAGTAGAATGGTATAGTACATGGTAAATAGGTGATGGAATACTATACAGCATTGAAAATGAACAATTGTTAATAATATACAAACAACAACAAGGATGACTATCACAAATGCAAAATATTCCATTTACATAAAACTTATAAACTGGTAACGGTGAGTTATGGTGTTAGAAGCCAGGAGAGAGGTTGCCTTTGGGGAATGACTGGGAGGTTCCATGAGAAGGACTCCTGGACTGCTGTAATGTTTTCTTTCTTGATCTGAATGGGTATAATATGGATTTTTTTTCATCTTATAGTAATTCAAGCTATACACTTATGATTTGTGCATTTGTTCTGCATGTTTCAACAAAAGCTTTTTGGAAGATGGCATTAATTTGCAGTAAATTTAGTTTTTCACACCATGTGCTTATGCATTTCATTTTTTTAAAAAACTCTAAATACAGCACTTTACTTTTATTCTTCTGAAATTGTATTGTTATTTCAGTTCATTAAGATGTTTTAAGATCCTGGTTCTGTCATTCAGTGCATTAGCTTTCCTACCAAATCTGTATTTTTAATTGTATTTATTATTATTAATTTTCCACCAGCTTTAGTAAGGTAAAATTGATCTGTGGTATACAATATGATTTATTAATATATGTATACATGGTGGAATGATTAAATCAAGCCAATTGACATCCATCATCTCATTTTTTGTCATTTTTTGTGGTGAGAACATTTAAGACCTACTCTTTTTAGTAATGTTCAAGTATATAATACATGATTAGCTATAGTCGCCATGCTGTACATTAGATCTCCAGAACTTTTCATTCAAACTGAAACTTTGTATCCTTTAAACAACATCTTACTCTTCTCCCCACCCTACCCTATCCCCTGGCAGCCACCATTCTGCTTTTATGAGTTTGACTTTTTTAGATTCCACATATAAGAGAGATCATGCAATATTTGTCTTTCTGTGCCTGGCTTATTTCACTTAGCCTTATGTTCTCCAGGTTCATCCATATTGTCCCAAATGACAGGATTTCCTTCTATTTTAAGACTGAATTGTATTTCATTGTGTGTGTGTGTGTGTGTGTGTGTGTGTGTGTGTGTGTGTGTGAATCGTACTGCAATGAACAGGGGAGTATAGATATCTCTTTGACATATACTATTTCCTTTGGATATATACCCAGTATTGGGATTGCTGGATCATATGGTAATTCTTTTTTTAATTTTTGAGAAACCTCCCATATTGTTTTTCATAATGGCTGTACTTCCAATGATATCTTTGTCAAAGTCCTCTAGCCTGCCCCTGAAGGCTTACCTTTGAGTTTACACTGGAACTCTATCCTTAGGTATGATTGTTAACCAGCCTACCATATTTTCATCATTCCTATAATTTTGTATTATACCCACAAGGATATGACAAATTTGATCAAATGCCTGATAAAGTCAAGAAATATTTTGTCTATAGTATTCTGTTGACTTAAAAGTTTAATAACCCTTCCAGAAAAAGGAAATAAGGTTAACTTGCTCTTGACTCTGAATTCATTTGACTCCTTTCATCACTCTTGCTGATCTAAATAACCATTGAGCAGCTCCCAAATATTCCAGCTCTCTCACCACACGCAAGGTAGGCTTGCACTGCCCTGCTTATTTGAATTTAGGAATATTGATGTCTTTGCTTTGATCGATGTGAAATATGTTACTTTGGAAAATAGAATAAGTATCCCTCACTGTATCCTCTTTCCAACTGCCTTGACAACCAGCATGTTCCAACGTGGGTCCCAAAGTAAAGCAACGGCAGAAGACGGCCCCAGTCAGACAACAAGGGACATATAATATGAGCAAGCAATGAATAAGACATAAGCATTTATTATTTCAAGCCACTGAGATTTTGCAGTGATTTGTTAATGAAGCATAATCTAAATTGATTATGCTTAATCATAATCATAATCTAAATGGATTACGTTTAATCTTAAGCTCCCCTATCAAGTGTAATCTTGACTGATACATCATGTTTACCAGTCTATGTTTTCTGGAATCCACATGTAGACTCACTGTGGAAATTCAGAAGAGAATATGCCCATCTGCAGTGTTCCAGTCCCTCTTATTCTCCATCATTTTTTGAGATTACTGACATTACATCTGTCAGTTCTTTCATTACTTGTGAAAATGAACTGGCTACTTGAATTTATATAAAATTACTGGGTGTTTTATCACCACTTTCTTTTTTTATTTTTTAAAGTTGTGGGCTATTATTCAGGGTTAGGTATACAAATGTTGATTATGCAGATACCCTTGTTGATGAGGTGTGCCCCTCCCTTCCCTGGCAGTTTCCCTCAACTGCCTACTTTCTTATCTTGGATTTCAATTCTTTCTTAACAATATTAGTTACACTTTTCAATTCTCCATGGTGGCGAAGGCAGAAACAAAAGAAGAGTTGTGTAATATACCATATTTAAGCTTTGTCCTTATTTCTCTTTTAATAATTTCCTTACTTTCAATAAAGCCTAAAAATCCTTCTAGAATTTCTTAATGTTTGCATTTTTCCTAAGTCTCTCATTCTGGTCATTCACTTTTCTCACACCCTTCTTAAAAGTTCATATGGCCAGGCTCTGGGGCTCAGCCTGTAATCCCGCGCCTTTGGGAGGCTGAGGTGAGTGGATTGCCTGAGCCTGCGGGTTCGAGACCCGCCTGGGCAGGCAAGATCTCATCTCTACAATAAATCAAAAAATCAGCCGGGCATGGTAGTGCGCGCCTGTAATTCCGGCTACTCGGAAGGCTGAGGCGGAAGGATCGCCGGAGCCCAGCAGGTCGAGGCTGCAGTGGCCGGGAGCGGCCATTGCACTCTAGTCTGGGCGACAGAGTGACTCCAACTCAAAAAAAAAAAAAAGTTCCTATGAAGTGCTTATCAAATTCACTATCTGAAATTATTTGTTTGATTTGTTTTTAATTTGTTGACTGTTCCAGTTACATGCTGTGGGATTTTATTGATTTTTGTAAGGCTACTATTTTTTTTTAATGTTAGTTATATGCTTCTCCTTCTCTCTTTTGTTCACTTCTTAACATTTGAGTTTACTAGAGTTTTTTCTTTTAAGGTTATCCAGTGTCTAACATTTAGTATGCATTTTAGAAGCTTCTATATGTTTTAATATTTTTTTCTGTTAGGAATTCTACTGTTTTCCTTGACTTTTTTGAAAAAAACGCTTTCCTTAAGTCTAAGGAGTATGTGTGACAGTCTCACTTTTTTTCTTCTAATGCTCTGTTTATCCCAATATGACCTATGTCTGGTTGAAATGACTAATCAGTTCACCTCTGCTGGTCCAAATTAAATCCACAATAACATCTCCTTGTTTTAAAAAGACTGTTTCTGTTTCACCTACTCCAAGAATTTGGATTGCTTTGAAAAAGCTGGGAATTCTTTTACTGCTCAGGCTGGTAGAGCATGATTCTTACAACTCTTGGACATGAATATGTAATCTGCCCATCTGCAGTGTTCCAGTCCCACTCTGCAATCAAGCTCCAGGAAAGCCTTAGGAAATCCTAGTTTTCTCAGAAATAACTGGGCAGCAAGGCGAGATTTTAGCATTTCCTTTCACTTACAGCTAAGGCCCTCTATCTTTCCAGTTGTCTGTCTGTCTGTCTCTCTCTCTCACACACGCACACACACACTTTTGTACTTTCCTTCTCTACATTTAACATTATACCTTCATATACTTAATCTCTTGCCTACATATGTTACTCTAATACTACCTACATATAAATATTCACACACATAAACTCATGTTTACACTTTTTTTTTAATTTTCAAAAAGGAGGGAGGAAAAAAGTGAGAGTCCAAAAGGGAGGGTGAGATTAAAAGGAAACATGAGGGGCTAGGCACAGTGGCTCATGCTTGTAATCCCAGCACTTTAGGAGGCCAAGCAGGGAGGATCGCTTGAGTCCAGGAGTTCAAGAACAGCCTAGGCAACATAGTGAGACATTGTCTCTACAAAAAATAAAAAAAATTATCCTAGTATGGTGGCACACATCTGTAGTCCCAGCTACTTGAGAAGTTGAGGCAGAAGGTTTGCCTAACCTAGGAGGCTGAGGTTGCAGTGAGCTGTGATAATGCCCGTTGTACTGCAGCCTGGATGACAGAGTGAGATTCTGGCTTAAAAACAAAAGGAAACATAAGGACAGAAGAAAGGAGTCTGGCCTGAGTGAATAGAGCTAGTGGCCTCCTGCCCTAGGACTTGTGCTGTGAGGGCTTGCCCCTTCATGAACATGGATGGACCCATTCACCCACCCTCTTTCACCCCAGCTTCTTTGTAATGGTGCTTGTTTATGTAACAACTGTTCAGGATTGGAGGGTTTTTCCTTTTTATAGAAAATGGGCCCTTTTGAAGTGTGATTCAACAACTCTGGCATTCTCACTTTAAAAAGCTGTTCACAGGATAGAACAAACAAAGAAAAAGAAATATGAAAATGAGAGAAAGAGTACATCAGATTTTCTCTATTTCCATTTTCCTTTCTAGAAGACCTACTTGAGAACTGCTTCCCATCACCACAGAGGCAGGTTTTGAACATCAGCCATGAGCGTGAACATACGAAGAGAAGAGTTGCTGGACCAGACCATCGTCAGGATAGCAGCTCACTTACCAGATCTCATTGTCTATGGAGATTTCTCCTCAGAGCGGCCCGCAGTGGAAGATTTTGATGGAGTCCTGATGTTTGTAGATATTTCAGGCAAGTGCACAAGGGATACTCGTTTAATGTGAGCGAGCAACAGGTTCCCATTCCTATTCACAGTGGAGCTTGACTGCAGAGTGAGAAGGCCATTTGCAAGCCCCTGGGGCTCTTACAATAGATGCTCTCCACTTACCAAGCACTGCCTCACTTGCATGTCTTTAAGATCCCCAAGTACCATGCCTAGAACTCCAGTGTCTCTGCCCCAACTTCACTGACTCATACTCCCAAGCCTCAAGCCCCACACACATCCCTGTCAGAATGGACCTTTGGAAATGATCCCCCTAAATGATGTTTATTTCATAAGAGTAAACATGCCACGTTTTCAGAAGGGTTTGAAATGTGTGTGTTTTCATTACCATGGGATAAAATTTCTAGTCCCAGTTCAAAAAAACTTGCAGTGATCACTATGTACTTGAGCATTTGAAAGGAAGAGGTATCTGGAGACACTCTCTGATCCCTAAAATAATAAACATAGATAGAGGAGGCTGCAGGTTGATGCTTGACTAGCCACAAAGATCGTGTAGGAGACCCTCTACCAATTCTTCAAAGCGGAAGTCCACTGCTTTCCAGCGTTGCCCTCTTCTGGCTCTGTGGTTCTCCCAAGCAACCAAGGAAACCAGCTGCACATTTATTCCAGGTTTTACTGCAATGACTGAGAAGTTCAGCACAGCTGTGTACATGGGACGGGGGGCTGAGCAGCTGGTGGAGATCCTCAACTACCACATAAGTGCAATCGTGGAGAGTAAGTGTCCTGAAGGTTTCTGGTGGAGAATATTTCTGTTTGCTGTGCTTTCTGTAGGTGTTGGTTACACCTGATAGAGAACTGTTGCTTAGTACTCTTCCTTTTCCCCATGAAGAGTGTATGAAACCAGTCTTCTTTGAAATATGATCTAGTATAGCTGAAAGAATATAATGAAGGCTCACTAATATGGACTATATGGGCAAAAGGATGTTTTGTGTTTTAAAGGGCAGACTGCTTTTAAAAGAATCACAGTAGTAATACTTTTAGTTACATTATATATTCAAATTTTTGTTTGTTTGTTTTTGAATCAGGCTCCCACTCTTGCCCAGCCTTCAGTGCAGTGACACAATCACGGCTCAGCACAGCTTCCACTTCCTGGGCTCTTAAAATTAGTAATTCCGGCTACTTGGAAGGCCGAGGCGGAAGGATCACCGGAGCCCAGCAAGTCAAGGCTGCGGTGGCTGGGAGTGGCCAATGCACTCCAGTCTGGGCGACAGAGTGAGACTCCAACTCAGAA